AAAGAGTGCCGGCGAGAAATCCGACACTGTCGCCGAGATCCTTGGCGACACCGAGCCTGGCGAGCTCTCTCTGGTTGTAGTGCAAGGAGCTCTTGATCACCGGAGATATGCTTCCGAACAAGTATCCGACGCCGGCGCATGATTGAATCCACATGGCAGCGACGAACACAAGCCATCTGTTGTTGATGAAAGATAACAGTGTTTGTCGGGCACTGGCCGCCATCCAACTTGCTGCTTTCGCTTCTTTTTGATCCTTCCAGATTTTTGTTTACACTTCCGATATTGGGAAATCCGGAGAATCGGACAAAAGGGCGATCGGAGATATCCATCATCCAGAGCTTTTGTCTTTTTGGGGGTTGTCTTCTAGTTAACTGCAATTATCCTTGTCGATAATCAAAAGGAATGAAGCGTTGCAAATGAGGAGAAATGTTTTTACGTCAAACGATACTGGGTTAACAGTGTTCCCAAATATTATATTGTGTGCTTTCGTAACAAATCTATAAATTTGAAGTTGCCAGATATGTTTACCTTTCAAAGGTTTGTCGGGAGTTGAATAGATAGATTAGTAAAAAGAATGCATGGGGGAGTCTATCGACGGCAACTCAAGAATGAAACGCAGGGAGGTGGACGTCTCTCTCATGGAGGCTGGCCTTTCCATCCTCGTTTTTATACTTCTATCGGTGGCATCTTTTGGATAACGTTATTTTAAAGAAAAGGTACCAACTTGCCATCCAGAAAATGACGCTGGTATATAAAAATATTAATGAAATGGCTAAGAAACATTTATTTATGGGTTACCCTTAACGTATATCCAAACCGATCCGAGACATCATTTACATCCTCTCGACTGTGTTACGAGTATTTGTATCCACATGATGATAATAATATTAAAAAAAGAGCAAAAAAGGGAAGGAGAAGGATCAGAAGTGGATGTGAACACCAATGGCGATGAGCAAGATGGTGAGAATAGCGAAGAAGATGATGGAATGAAAGAGAATGGAGATGCCGCTGGTGGTCATGTTCCCAAACTCCACCACTCTCCTCCTCGCAGGCAGCTGACACAGCAACCCCGGCGACAACACTATGAACAATCCCACCGCCACTATCACTGGCCCCCAGTCCCCTGTTGTTGATGCCCACCCCACCATCTCTCGCTCTCTCCTTCTCTATATACACACGCACACATATATATACTGCTAAAGTCTCGAGCTTTAATTTTAACTCCTCAAGTCAAGAATCAAGTGCTTACCCTCCAACACAATCAATCCCCTGTTTTCCTCTGCTGCTTTTATCTACCGGCAGAGTAACACGCACAAACGTGCATTTGAAGAATCCTTCTTTCCAAACTTCACAAAACGACACATTTGAAAGCAGCTTACCATAGTCCGATTTATATTTGAGCGTCTTTGGTTCTGTTATTGTGTAAAGAGGCCCAAGTTCTTAAGCGGCGCAGGCCCACTGGATTTTTTAAATTTTAAATTTAAATTTCAAAATTCGCCGCGAGATTTGAAAATATTCGCATTGCACCCACACATTGGACAAATTGGCAGCGTGCTTTTGTTCTTCCATCTCCATCGCAATTTCCTGGAAGCAAGCGTATCCCCATCTCAAATCATCGGTGTGGTTATCTCGTAAGATTATTCAATGCTTCGAGGTGTGCACAACGTACTCACGCATGTTTATGTATCAGCTTCGATTGTTTTGACATTGGATGTATTACGTCCATGTTTTTCGCAGATTCATGCGTAGATTAGAAGACTAAATTTGACTTGGTTTCCCAATGATTGATGGATGATCATGATAATATTTCCAGGTTAGGGATATCTGAAACCGCCCCAGATCAATATTTTGAATGGAGTTAAATATTTCTCTCCGTGAAAATAGGTAACTGAACTTTTTTTTTGTGTTGTTATAATTATCAGTTGTTGATCTGTCGGATAACCTCTTCAGTTCTGTGTTTGGTGTCCGATAACGACGGAATTGTTTTCTAATTTCTAGAAAGGTAATTATCATGTTAAAAGAACAAATTATGTGCCTTAACAGGTGTTTTTTTTCTTTCTCCAGATGCTTTTTTGCAGTTCTTTCTCCATGGCAAAGGGGTAGGTTGCCGCTAAAGGAGCGCCTATCATTGAATTCCCCAGAGAGTATTTCAATGGGTATTTTACTCCTGATTTGGAAACTTTTACATATTATGCAGAAAAATATCTTCTATTTGTTTCTCGAACTGTTAGGTTGGATTAGATTGTATTTGTAATTTGTATCCCTCAGTTACTGAGTGGTGGCTAAAAGGGCCAGCTTGCGTTGGCTATTCAATTGTCTAGAACATCTCTGTTGCTCCATGATTAATAAAAGAGAAGATAATCCTTCAGAAACACGGCCTAATCTTGATAAGCATGTCTATTGCTCCTCTGAAACTTTTTGTGGGGAGTTAGCAACCTTGGTTGACCAGCCATGGAGAATGGAAACACGTGGTGTTCTTAAGGCAGAACGGCCACTGGTTTAATTCATGTGTCCATACTGCTAGTCATCGAAGGTGTAGGCAGATCAGGTTCTATTCTCTTGCTTCTGACTTCTTGTGTTCAAGAGCTCTGGTAGGTTTGATTGCTTGTATGCTTCGCGTTTCATGATGCTGCTTTGCTATTGAGTTTACTGTTTAAAAATACATTTTATAAGTATTTACATGCACGATTGATTTATATACTAATTGACATGCGAATGGCGGTGGACAATGAGTGTGCTACGGACTTTCTTCTCTGCTTCGCTGTCTAGTGACCCTAGTTCTCTGCTTTGTATTTCTCAGTCTTGTGTTTCCAGACCTTGTTAGGCCATATAGAAAAGGCAAACAAATTCCCAGAGCTTTGATTAATGCAGGTTTGAGGAGTTATTTGGAATATAAGGCATGCCAGTTTTTCCAGCTCCAGCTGTAGTTTTTTCTTCATAAAAAGAAATAGGGGTTTGAGCCTACATATTTGTTCTCACGATTTCTTTTAAACCATATTCATGATTATTCATCAAAAAGTTGCATGTATGACTCCTTAGGGATACTTTATCTGGAAAATAGAAATAGTACTTCTCTAAGCAAAGAAGTTTATATTAGATCTACAATAACTTATTGCTCTCGTTTTATATCTTAGCATAGATCAAGCCTATGTTCGGATGGTTAGCCACTTCAGTAATCTGGTTCCCGCAAGTTTACTATGCACGCACTGCGTTATACAGAAAAGTAAAGTGCTGTTTCAGGAAACCTTCGGGAGCTCTGACAAAATTGAGGCCTTGGAGCTAGTTGCCTCAGAACAACTAAAGCTGTCTACACAACATCAGGTACTGTTGTTTGCTTCCATGTTTTTGTTCTATTCTGTGAACCATCTTTCAGTATACATCCTTTCCTAGCAGTAGAACGTGTTAAACACCTCCCGGCCCCAGTTGTGACCACAATTAGTATGAATTTGGGTTGGCGAATTGCCATAATGACAAAATTAAGTTAAAAAAGGGAAATGTCCATGGTTTTTGAAAGTGGGTAAAGATGTGAAAGTTGATAAAAAGTCGTGAATCAGCACGAGATGTGGCTTGCGTATAGGTCTTAATAGCAACAGTTGCCCTGGATGAATGAGCATAGAAAATCTTGGCCTAGAAACACACAACTGTGTAGAGGGCGGGGGAAAAATGGATCTCCAGTGCAAAATCATAATATGATGAAAGCATTGGGGTAGGAGGAGTGGATTAGTCATCTTTAGGTTGGAGTTTGAGGAAACCGACAAGGGACAAAGGAACAACGGGAGACGGCTTTTTGGTTTAGGAAGAAATGGGACGGAAACACTTACCCACCAGTTCCTTATTTTAAACCAACTTACAAATGGTACAATTTGCGATTTTGAGTCGTTCTAGTAGGTACTAGCTGTGGTAGTGGTACCTCCTGCAATTAAAAGAAAAGAAGTGAATGGCATTTGTAGAGGTAGGCACGGTTGTTGGTGCAAAGAAGGTTCTGAGGGGTCGAGGATGCGTGTCTGCTTTATAGACTTTTCAAAAGCCAAGTCTCTTGACTCTTGAGCACCCTTAGGTTTCGTACTCTGCATTATTTGAATGTAAACCCATGTCTGCACATATGGAAACGTGGGATCTTGTGAAATAGGCACCGTAAAGTCGCCCCTTTTCTTTCTTGTGCAGATTATGTGTAAGGAGACGTCAAAGGGATCTGTTTATCAGCCTCAGGTCATCTTCTCCATGTTACCGGCGTTTCGTTGGAATTAGATCACATGCTATGAGACCTGGACCTGCTGCGGAACTGGCGGCGAGGATCGGTCAGGAGCTGTTGTCGATATCCGGCGGCTCGAGATCAGTTAGGACATGGAATTCGTCGTTCGAGCAGACCCTTCACCGCCTCCGCCTCCGCGACTCGCTGTGTCCTTCGCTCGTTGCCTTAGTCATCGACCCGTTCCTCCTAAACCACCATTCGCTCGCTCTCGGATTCTTCAACTGGGCTGCCCAGCAACCAGGCTATTCTCACGACTCTGTCTCTTACCGCTCTATCCTTAAGTCTCTCTTTTCTTCACGCCAGTTCTCCGCCATGGATGTCCTCTTGAAACAGGTGAAATCGCAGAAAATTGTCCTCGAGCCTGCTGTGTATCAGTCGCTCATAGACTCGCTCGTTTTGGGAGGGAAACCTCAGAGCGCGTTCTGGGTTCTCGATGAAGTCTTGTCGATGGGTCGGGAGATGCCTCCAGATGTATGCAATCGTCTTCTGGCTGCTTTGGCCTCTGATGGGTGTTCTGATTACGCACAGCATATGTTCGATGAAATGTGCCGAAGAGGTATTGCTCTGAACACTCTGGGATTCGGCGTATATGTAGGGAGATTCAGTAGGAATGCCGAAACGGGTCGGCTCTTGAGACTTGTAGAAGAAGTGAAGAAGCTCAATTCGGATATCAATGGCTCCATTATTGCACTGTTGATTGTTCATGGTCTTTGCAAGGCTTCTCGAGAAATGGACGCTTTCTACATATTGGATGAACTAAGAAACATAGGTTGCAAACCGGATTTTATGGCCTATAGGATCATAGCTGAAGCCTTTGTGTTAACTGGGAATCTGTACGAGAGACAAGTCGTTCTAATATGCCCGCCGCAAAATCTGAATCACAATAACCTCTTACTCTTAACCCTTCTGATTTCTGATACTTCAAATCGTATCCAGCTGTGCCTTTTAAGTACCTTAGCACCCATTTGACAGCATCCCAGTGTTCCTTTATTGGTTTGCTCATAAACCTGCTGAAAACGGGTCGGCTCTTGAGACTTGTAGAAGAAGTGAAGAAGCTCAATTCGGATATCAATGGCTCCATTATTGCACTGTTGATTGTTCATGGTCTTTGCAAGGCTTCTCGAGAAATGGACGCTTTCTACATATTGGATGAACTAAGAAACATAGGTTGCAAACCGGATTTTATGGCCTATAGGATCATAGCTGAAGCCTTTGTGTTAACTGGGAATCTGTACGAGAGACAAGTCGTTCTAAAGAAGAAGAGAAAACTCGGAGTAGCACCCAGGAGCAGTGATTATGGAGAGTACATCTTGGATTTGATTTCAACTAATCAGTTAACTGAGGCTAAGGAGTTAGCTGAGGTGATCGTAAGTGGGAATTTCCCAATTGGTGATGATGTTTTGGAGGCAACGATCAGATCGGTATCTTCAGTTGATCCAGATTCTGCTGTTGGATACCTCAGTTTCATGGTAAGCAATGGCAAATCGCCCACACCTTTGACTCTGAGCAAACTATGTAAGAATCTGTGCAAGCACAACAAGAGCAACCACCTGTTGGAAGTCTATGAACTGTTGGCGAGCAAGGGTTATTTCTCAGATATTGGGAGTTACAGAATGATGGTTAAGTTCTTGTGCAGGGGTGGGAGAGTGAGAGAAGCTTACAATGCTCTCGACGAAATGAAGAAGAAAGGGTTTGATCCAGATGTTTCTATGTACAACGCTCTCATCGAAGCCTGTTGCAGGGGGGATTTGATACGTCCGGCTAAGAAATTGTGGGATGAAATGTTTGTAAATGGGTGTAGGATGAATCTAATGACCTATAAAGTTCTCATTGTTAAATTGTCAGAGGAAGGAGAGGCTGATGAAGCGTTGAGGCTGTTTAAAAGAATGCTTGATAAAGGGATTGAAGCAGATGAAGAGATTTATACCTCCCTCGTCACGGGCCTTTGTCAAGAGTCGAAAATTGATGATGCACTGCAAGTGTATAGGAAATCTGTGGAACATGACACGAGGGTTTCGGGAAGGGTACTAAGCGCGTTCGTTTGGAGTCTATGCAGAGATGGTAAAGAGACCGTATTTTTAGATATCTTTTTTTTTTTTGCTAATAAATAAAATAAAGGATATGAATATTTTTTGGTGCAGGCTGTCATAGGGAAGCGTCGGAGCTGCTGCGTGAGATGTGGTCAAGTGAAGAAGAGCAGAAGGGTGCTAATGTGGTGCTGCTGAAATGCATGGCCGAAGCAAAAGAGGTCGATATTGGAATCCAACACATCAAATGGATCAAACAAGTGCTGTCCCCGTCTCTGCTTCACCCCTTCTCTTCTGACCTATCAGCTTCTCTTTGTTCGTCTTCGGACCCTGATTCGGTTTTGCCCTTTCTTCGGGAGCTAGAGGAGACATCCAACATTCCATAGCATGCGACCTGACACTCGGTACTCTCCTATTGGTTCACAGAGTAACTCAGTCACCCGTTCTTTGAGATTAGAGACCCTTCAGATCAAAGGGATGCTTCATCAATCAATGACTCGGACTTCTTCTCCTCTTAGAGCCAGACAACCCAGGCTGTTTCTAATATATATGGACACGCGCACATTGGAATTTTATGTCTCTGTTGTTTTTGTAACTGTAAGAATAATAATAACCATTCAGGTGCCAAAAGACACGCGAAGGTTGTCGGAAAAACATTCACACGTATATTGAATAATGAGTGGGTTATACTGGCGACAGTTGGTTACAGTTAATACCGTTTTGAGATATAAGTGGTGGAGCACCTGTCGTGGCAGTTTTGCTCCACCGCAAGACTGTTTTTCTTTCCATTTCTGAACTGTACATGGCGACTGCGAAGCACTGGAAGAGAGAGGGAAGGAAACGGAATATAGAACACTCGATTAGAGACTTGGAAAGATTGATTAGTCAATAATTAGTGTGATTAGACCCAAAATGGAGAGTTACTACAGAGCGTAGCTTAAAACAAACGCAAAACGCACTCCCTCCCCCTCCCATCCCTAATTCCCCACTATAACCTAAAACCTGTCATTTTGACTCTCTTCTCCTAAACATGCCGTTTCCCAGAAATAGGAGGAAAAAAAAATGAAGATCAGAGCCAGAGAGCGCCAGCTTGTTTGAGGAGCGGGACAAGAGAGCCGTTGATGTGAGAAGCCATGACAGCATCCATAGCTCCAAGGAGTTTGCCGCCGACGAAGACGACAGGGAGAGTGGCCGGAGAGGGGAGGCCGGCGGCGGAGAGGAGGCGGAGGAGAGAAGAGTGGAGGTCGGGACCGAAAGGGAGGAGGTCGAGCTCATGGACAGCAGGGCTGACTCCCATCCCTCGGAAGAGGCGCTTCAGGGCATGGCACATGCAGCATGTGCTCACGCTGAATATCACTACTGCTCTCTCCGACACCATTCGACTCACTGTCTCCGGTAACGCCGTGTTGTTGTTGTTCATCACCTTGTATGAGCTCCATGCTTCTCTCGTCCTCTGGTACTGCATTTTCTATCTTCTCTGATCTATGCGTTGAGAGAGAGAGAGAGAGAGAGAGATGAGTTTTGGCTGCGGAGTTGATGAGAATCATGCGGGATATTTATAGAGGAGTTGCATCAGCATGGAGTCACTCATCTATCTGTGGTTTATTTAACTATTATTGTTTATTCCTTGTGTATACTAATGATCTCTGTTCATTCAAACCAGACATACCAAATATTCAACATATAAACAGAGAAATCTATAGCAAATTGACTAAAATAATCTATAAATTAAATCACGTTCATGCTTTACTAATCTTGAGCTTTTTTTACTGAAGACTAGCTAATCCGGCCGGTGCTACTGCCTGAACTCAATCAATGCATAAAACTATATATATTAATAAAAAAAAAAAGTGCTCAGATACAAATATATTTTCCGTTCCATAAATTAATATGATCGCATTAAATTTAAATGCATGCCCAGATTTTCCTTTTCTAGCGTTATCACTGTTCACTCAGGAGTAGAAACAATACAACAGGGCGACGAAATGAAATTATCCCCATATTAATGTATTAATTGTGAGAATTCATTTTAATTATTTTTTTGGTAAGAAAAAAAAATGGACAAGAAGAACAGGCTTTAGCAGAAGGGAGTTGTTGGCCATAGACGGCTCTGTCTGTCCTTCTTGTCGGCTCTTACTTTGTAATAACATTCAATTTGTTACAATTTTTCTCACTAAAATTTATATGCTTTATTTAATCAATTTGTCAGCCTATAAATACATATATTAAAATCACATGACATGAGCTCGATCATGTATACATATATATTCGACACTTTGGATATCCAATCTGATCCACGGATACCTCATTGGAAAATTAGGGCATATATGTACATCGGGTTGGATTTCAATAATGCGCATAGGTTGTGTTCGGTGCGGATTTCAGAATTACAACGTTGGATACTAGCGGTCGTGAACATCCGATAACGTAATGTTAAATGATGAAAACATTCCAGGTTTATTTTTAATGGATAATACAAATATGTCGTTAATCCGAAAATTCAATCTCATTTCGTAAGTTTCCGACAACAACAATACTAATATTTACTAGTTTGCTTGCCTAAACATGTAACGTACCTAGTTACAATACATTATACAAAAGTTAATTACCCCATTTTTACAAACACAAATTATTATGCAAATCCACAGGGATTAATGACTTTGATTGGAAGTACTATCGAGTAATTAATTAATATGTCATGGAAGAGTAGAATTAGCAAACTTATGCTAGCGTACATAGGAGAAGGAGCATCATCCATGAATTTTACCTACTCAGATTGTGTCCTTTTTTTCCTGCAAAATTTTCTCTTCGCTTCTCATCAGAATAGTAAACACAAACTTCCTTTCAAACACGCACGAATATCATATAATCGAATATCAAATCAATAATATGAAATCTCAGTTAAGAATATTAATCTCATAAAAAAATCAGAACAAGCATGTGGTGCATGCATGCATATCTGCCAATATGTATATGCTATGAACTTCGGATCAGGTACCCATGTATAAAGCCAGGATTTGAACGTGGAAAGGAAAAATAAAACTAATTAAATGTGAAAAACGAAAGCAATCTTTGATGTAATTTTTTTATTAATAATCAAATGAACTATAAATACATGAGAGTTTCAAATAAATAAATAAATTAAAAAATACATTAAATATTCATAAATCTCTCTAAATCTCTATTTTTCAGATTTGATAAGATTTTTATGATATTGATATATCTCATAATATTCTTTATATATTTCAACATCCCCTCAAGTTGGAGGGTGGAAGATCACAAAACGACCAACTTGCTGATTGCTGAAAAGATGATTAAATGCATACCGCTTGAACCACATCATCTTAGAATTTGTGTCAATAGAATATATAACTGAGAAAAAAAATCAAACGAACGACTGCGCTGCAATTTTGGCAACACGCAAAAAGAATCATTTGATGATAACAAAAAAAGGATGACAACCGCGGTGCGAAAAAGAAGTATCGAGAATAACTTTGATTCATCCGAAATTAAAAAGCAACTATGCGAAAGCGTTTAGTGACAATAAATTTTTACAAGAGTAAGATGGTTTGTGATTATGCGAATAATCTTTTGAAACATGTAGGATTATAAGAGAAAATTTTAAAAGAAAAAAAATAACTCTCTTATTCTTAATAAAAAAAAACTCAAAATGATATTACCACTAGATCCGTGTATCATCATCTTCATCCTCACTCTCATTATCAACCATTATTTTTATGAAAAGAATAACAAATTAGAAAAGAATCAGAAGCACACATACCATGTAGAAATATACAGAATGATGTAATCTTTTATTAATAATCAAATGAACTATAGATATATAAGAGTCTCAAATTAAATAAATAGATTAGAGAATACATCAAATATTCATAAATCTCTCTAAATTTCTATTTTCATCTGATAAGATTTTTATGATATGATATATCTCACAATATTATTCATATATATCTCAAGAGATTACGCTCGTCGGATCTTCTTTACATTCATTTTCTATTTTTAATTTTGTTCTTGCCCGTCGTCGTCTTCATCTTCCTCATCAGACCTAGTTATTGCGTAACACATGTCACATGTCATGTAATGTTTTTGACCGGGCGGTCGGATTTGACCCTGAAGATTCATCGTCACAATTCATCTCTGTATATGCTTTTGAGGAAGGGTATTTAGGGGAACGAAAAAAAAGGGTCCGAGTTTTTAAAGCCTGGACATTTCATTCCTACATATTTCCTTTTCCCTATGTGTTATATAAGTAAACTCTCTTGTTTCATTCAAACGTTTGAACTAAGCATGCGAATGAAGTATTGTCTCTTGCCTTTGCTGGTGTTAATAATAACTTTCATCTCCTATTCTTTTGACGCACATGCATGAACGAATGTATTGTGTGTGTATATATATATAGTCTGTATAATAATATAGAATACGATAAGTTATCTTTCACCGGTATGGCGTATGCATACGTACGTTCACACAGGTGTAAGTGTAAGGCTGCATGTGCATGCGTATAAGTATAAAGCACATACATGCTATGCTAAATGCATATTTATCTAATTAAAAAAAATACATGTATCTCATATTCTGGATTATAAATTGGACACTAATGTTTCTATTATATATTTTAATGTCCATGGACATGGCCTCTCCAAAAACTACTACGCGATTCGTAATGTATTGTTATGATAGACTGTTTATTGTTATGAAAATGATGTTGAGTTAAATTTAAATTATGTGTGATTCGAAATTTTATCGTACGTATATAGGCCTAATTAGCAGGACAAAGGCAGAAGATCCGACGGATGAAAGAAAAAGGGAGCATAAAGAAGCTTTGATCCAAGGGTCAGGGTCAATGTGTATGTATATGTGTATGTGTATAGGGAACATGCATGCATAAAGTTAATAAATAAAACAGTGGACTATTCGCGTGATGCAATCTTTTTCAGCTTTGTTTTTTGTTCGGTCTTCCATATCTGTTGTCATTAAAGGAAGAGTGAGGTAAGTAGCTTTAGGGTTTAATAATATAAGGGGGAAAGGGTGGGGAAAGAGGAGACAGGTCTTCTGAGGCCCACACCACGCGAGCCGCCTGAGCGTACGGCTCCTCCGAATGGGCCGTTAAAGGAGTAACCGACAATGCGCCTTTTCCTCAGCCGCTGACGTTATCCTAACGTTGACTGCCTAAAGCAGCTTCCTTACCCGTGTCAACATCTTTTTTTTTCTCTAGTTAATTACAGTTTTACGGGTTGTAAAATTAAATATTTATAAACCCGCATATATATATATATATATAGCAACAGATGTAGGTTTAGTAGATACAAAGTTTAAAAAAAAGGATATTTTCCTTAAAAGAAAGAAAATATCTAAATTTGCGCATATTGTGCTTTTACGTGACAAGCATGAGACTTACTTTAGTCCTTGTCGTGTTTCGCTTTCACACAGTCAGTCAAAATGGAGTGTTTTTTAATTAAATATTATTATTTCCAGTGGGGAAATTTTCCCGAGAAAGTGCGAGATTCCGAGCCGTAGGCTCGTCGGTCTGGGCTTTGAAAAAAGTAAAAGCGGTGAGCCTTCTCGAATCAAGTTCGGCCCAAAATCTGTTTGGGCCTTTCTGTTGAGTGTTTCCCAAGCAAACTGGACATGGTTTATGGCCCAGAAAGATTTTTTAATGCATGTAGTCCCCATTATGACTCCAAAGATGGAATATTATCCACAAGCACCCACCCACTAGTTTCGTTGGTATGATGTGAAACAGTTCAAGCATTATATGCCAATCTGGAACTCGGCCTTTGCTCTGATGCCGATTCTGTTCAAAAAGGATTTTTTTTTTTTTTTTTGCAATTAAAAGCTTATTGGTTCTGGTGTGTTTTCCCCGTGGCACCAACCACATAAGAATGGGCCGTTTGGGTTATTTGAATGGTGTTCTGTGCGAGGGAAGTGGCCCAAGGCCTAGTTGGAAAACCCCATGGCCCATTTATAACAGTAAAGAATATGCCTTGCCTTTGTTTGGTATACGACGAGGGTTTCTCTTTCTCCCAACCTATTTGCCCAAGAAAGACCCGAGTTTTGAGCTTTGCCATTGGAGGTTACATTTTGTTTGCAGCGTGAGATCGGAGACCCCCACCCGTGCTCAATTCCTACGCTATCTCCGCTGCCGCCGCCATGGAATCTCCTAGGAATTCCTTCATCCCAAGCTTCCTTTATTCTTCGTCTTCGTCCCCAAGGGCATTCCTTCTGGATCAGGTTCTCAACTCTAACCCCAACACCACCTTCTCCAATGTCGAGAAATCTCCCTCTCCGACTGTTCTCTCCAATAAGAGCTTCCTCATCGCATCTCCCTCCGAGCCGGGAAAGAAGATCGAGATGTACTCGCCGGCCTTCTACGCCGCCTGTACCTTCGGTGGCATTCTCAGTTGTGGTCTCACTCACATGGCCGTCACCCCTCTCGATCTCGTCAAGTGCAACATGCAGGTACCCTCTTCCATCCTTTTTTTTTTGTCGCTATTCCCTTTTCGCTTCGCCGATCCCTCCAGCAGTAAGATCTGCGCGTGAAGTTGTGTTCTAGTTTTGATCGATATTTCTGTTCCCAGTAGACCGGTTGTTAACTTTCCGCGTCTTATATCATTTCGACATTTCCATGAGTATTTGCTTTTTACGACAAGGGGTCGAAGGCTTGTTTTGGACATCTTATGGATCTTAGAGTCATGCCCTTTTCTTGTTATTTATTTTGCTGTACGTGTTTTGCCTTTGCCTATCGGAATCAACAGTCCTTTGAGATAAATAAGTTTTTCCAATATGCTAGACCCTTTTTCTCCTTCTCGTATGATTGGCGTACAATGTCTTGTATTGTGTTCACCCTACTCAATTCGGATGTGCTAATCCATTATGTTATGATAATGGACAAGTAAGCGTCTCCATACGGATCATCGTGGAGCCTCCCTTAGTAGATCAGAAAAAAGAAAGTACATTAAAATTGAGAGGCATTCTCTGATTCAAATTGTATGCTATGCTGTTCTCAATCACGTTTAAAGCTTGTGATTGGTATTCTTTGCCTTTCAGATCGATCCAGCTAAGTATAAGAGCATCTCGTCTGGTTTCGGAGTTTTACTCAAGGAGCAAGGAGTCAGGGGCTTCTTCCGTGGATGGGTTCCCACTCTGTTAGGTTACAGCGCCCAGGGGGCCTGCAAGTTCGGATTCTACGAGTTCTTTAAGAAATACTATTCGGACCTTGCTGGACCCGAGTACTTTTCCAAGTACAAAACCCTCATCTACCTTGCCGGTTCAGCTTCTGCTGAGGTAATTGCCGATGTCGCTCTCTGCCCATTCGAGGCAGTGAAAGTCAGGGTTCAGACGCAGCCAGGATTTGCCCGGGGAATGTCTGATGGATTTCCCAAATTTGTCAAGTCTGAAGGTGTCGGTGGGTAAGTTTAAACTACCAAAATATCGTTTTAAATTGTGTTTCAGCAGAGCCTTTTGTGTCTGATTACTTTTATTTGCAGTTTGTATAAGGGTCTTGGTCCACTCTGGGGACGGCAAATTCCTTGTAAGTCGTGGGCCTCTACCTTGGGATGCATTGCATAAATTCGGGTTTTATATTACGCATGACTCTAGTTAACCCTGATGTGGATTGGAACGTGAACTGTAATGGTGATATGGGCATTGGTTGCAGACACAATGATGAAGTTTGCTTCTTTTGAGACAATTGTGGAGATGATCTACAAGTATGCGATCCCCACACCAAAGGAGCAGTGCAGCAAAAATCTGCAACTTGGAGTTAGTTTTGCAGGGGGATACGTTGCTGGAGTGTTCTGTGCTATTGTTTCTCATCCTGCGGACAATCTAGTGTCGTTCCTGAACAACGCCAAGGGAGCAACTGTTGGAGATGTAAGTAGCCGTGTCTCAGTCATTGTTTGGCATGACGGAGTCAGATGCATTCTTCTTACGTTGTGGGGAATAATATATGGATGCAGGCCGTGAAGAAGCTTGGGCTGTGGGGTCTGTTCACCAGAGGGCTTCCTCTACGTATTGTGATGATAGGGACGCTGACAGGTGCCCAGTGGGGTCTCTATGATGCTTTCAAAGTCTTCGTTGGCCTGTAAGATCTCTTTTTTCTTATACTTGTATAGATGTATATAAAAGCAGTCCTCTAATGTGAAACACCCTTCTACTTCAGGCCAACCACGGGAGGTGTTGCTCCAGCAGCTGCGAATGCTGTTGTCAAGGCCTAGATGATATGATGGATGGACGCCGTTGCATACAAGTTGAAATAAACCCAAGTAATCCGTAGGATTTTTTTTTATATAAAAAAAATAAAAGAAAGGGATTTTGCTGAAGAGTGGGAGTAGAGCAGGGAGGTGTGACATCAATTTTTGTTTTATTACCTGATATCAGGAGAATGCTATGCTACTTACTACCCTCAGTTATTGTGGCTGTGGGAGCTTGAGAGCCTCATTTCTCGTGTTTTTATTTTATGTTGGCGTTGTTGTTTATGTAAGTTATGGAAGAGATCTCCTTGCATATATATATATATATGCGTGTATGTTTTGCTTCTTGCAAAGAGAACGAGAAGAATTGCAGGAGACAATGTTGGCGTAACGTGAAAAATATCAAGAGTGAAGAGCAGTAGAAGGGATACAACGCATACATGCATTATGGTCCCAATTCATATTTTGAATTGGCAAAACCAAACGCCCACCGTGGGGCTCGAACCCACGACCACAAGGTTAAGAGCCTTGCGCTCTACCAACTGAGCTAGACGGGCTCCTGCTATGTGTAACAAGCAATAAGAATAATTTAGAGCGAAAAGGACGAAGATAATCACATTAATGAATTGGGGCTTAAACAGCTCAATTACACTACATAATCCATTTCCTCTTCCCATGCACATATATAGCGAGGATCCTCTCCACACAACCCATTTCCTTCTTTATATATTGTCGACTTTCATAACTACATTAGGAAATAACCCGCGTGGATCGCGCGGACTAAAAATACATATAACTTTTTAATATTTTATATAACACATTTTGTTGTTGGTTTTATAATTGATATTCTTAGATGAAGAATTTTTTAAAGTCTCCTAATAACATTTTTTGCAAATTTTTAAGAGAGACTATCTCAGTAACTTTTGTGTTTACATTTTTTTTTATTGAGTATAATTTTTTTTAAGGGTTATGGACTATAATTATAATAATGGTTGAAATGTTGAGTACGTTGGACGATTGTATAGTTGAATATTTTCATTTAGTTTGACATTATTTTGTTATTTTTTTTTAATATGTACTATATGTCTTTTATCACAAAATTTTGCTACATCCTAACTATACTTGTATGAGTTTTTTTAACCGATTCGACGGTAATAAACTACAGTAATTACAGTTTTTTATAGAGGTGAGCATTTTTCGGTATTCTGTTTGGGTTATGATCGTGAATAGTTCGATTCGGTTCTTTCGGTTTTATAAAAATTTGTACCAATCTATTATTATATTATATTCAATTCGGTTTGGTTTGAGTTCTGATTTGGTTATGTTTTTTATTAAAAAAATTATATCTTATTAAATTTTTTTTGATTTTTTAGGTTTGTTAAAATTCTGTTTGGTTTCGATTTGATTGCCAAATATTCTATTTTTTAAAAAATTAATACTATTTGATAATTTTAAAAGATTTGAATCAATAAAATATCATATTTTTCGATTCGGATTATTTCTGAAACGCCCACACCTACACACCTAGTAAGTAAAAATGTATGAAATTTAATTATTAACGTGAGACTTCATAGTAAATGGGCGGTTGAGATTTAGTGAAGTATAAAAGTAATGGTGTAGTTTTTCTCCCATTATAATTTTGAGAGTTTTTTTTTATTTAAAATAATTTTGATGGTTACAAAGTCATTTTTGACTCTCAAGTAAGAATCACTCTTGATCTCCCTATGTCGTCTTCGCTGCTGGAAAACACCGTATGTGCGCAGCTTTGACCGAAGTTCCTCTGCCTCCGACGTCGATTCCTTTTATAATTTTGGTATGTCTCTTCTTCCCCTCTGCCATTTGTGATGATGAGATTTTATTATTATGGTGATCGTCTCCGATGCAGGATAATAAATACATATAAATTTAAAAAAAATTTATTTTTAGGTTTAACGTTAAATATATTATATTTTGTTTTTAAATTTATATTTCATATCTTTAAACCAAATGACAAATAGTTTTGAAAATACCGAGTATCATTTTTTTAAAAAGTAATTGATAATAACGTTCTATATTTATTTTTATATATATTATAATATAAAATTAAAGGTTCGAAAATAATACTGATACTACATTAATGTATCTAAGATTTTGTATCTTTATACTTTTATTCTTAAAATATAAAATTAAAATTATTTCATATTTGTATGCTATATATATTTTTATCATAATAATAATAATTCAACAATTCATATGAAATCAATCCACTTTGATTTAAATAAATATCAGTTGTAGTCTCATTTAATTGAATATTTCATTTAATTCATTTGTATTTTATTAAATTTATTTCTTATCTTTTTTCTCATCTCAATTAGATTCATTTGATCCTATAGAACTCATACTAAGATCTTCGATTATGCAATGAATGAATTAAATTAATTTGTCACTCATGAAAGATCTATCATCGTCTCATAAACCATCTATGATAGGAGTTGGAGTTTTAAAAAAACGCTGCTTGTGAAACTCAGATAGACATTATTTAAAAATCCAATGGCTCCCATAGAATCCTTACACAACTAAATTCATAAGAGTTAACATAAATGTCAATAAAACAACTATTTACTATATCTTGATGATATTTGTCGAAAATCGAAACATTAATAGTTATAGTGAAATTTATGTATTCATTTGATATATGTTTTCTGTTAATACTATAATATTTTGTAGAAATTTATGTTTTTGTGAAGAAAAAGAATGATTTTGATTCTTCAAATAATAAATAATGGAAAAATTTATATTATTGAAATTACATTAGAATAAAATAATTATTTTGAAAATAATTTTATTTTTTTAGTAGAGTATATTAATTTGTTAGTCAACTCAAAAAAATTGAAATGAAATAAACAAATATATTTAGATGTTAATATAATATAAATTATATAATCGAATAAAGATGAATCATCAAAATCTTTCATACGTAAATCATTGACTACAATATAATTTGTTATTTGACTATTTATTTGTAATTCCGATAAAATAAACGAATATTAAATCTAAATTTGTCAAAAATAAAGGGTTAAACAAATATCATTATCCGCGCGCATCGCGCGGTCTAAAAATATACATAGATTTTAAATAATTTATTATTAGTTTTAAAGTTATTTAATTTTATTTGCACCCTACTTGATAATCTTTTTCAGACGAAACAGTTTACTCATCTTAGCTTTTCATATACAATTTTCTATCACCAGCAATAAGAGACCATATATATATATAAAATATTATTCAATATTTATATGTCAACTTCTATCTTCTGACAGTGTTTGAAAGATCCTGTCAAACTTCTCTGACATTAATATATCTCTTGTCTTTTTCATTTGAATTCACCATTTTTGCTTCTGTCATCTCTTCCTCTTCATAGACGGATGCTTTACCAATCAACTATAAAAAATAATTTAAATTTATAGCATACTTTGAATCAATTGTATTTTGATCTCACAAAAAATAAATACAGAGTTTTAACTATAATTTAGACCTTAATTATTAGTTTTAATATATGAAGATTTTTTTAAAAAAATATAACACGTCACTTAGAGCTTTAAATATAATTTAGACCTTAATTATTAGCTTATGAAGAATTTTAAAAAATATATAACCCTTGTCACTTTGCTGTATAGGAAATATACTTGTATATATACCAATATAAAATATCAAAAGAGATTGTTTGCCTCTAAATTCACCCATCCTCTTTCTTGGTCTTCATGATTGTCAAACCATTTTCAGAAAACACGCTTTGGATTTGATTTTTTTTTTATTTCTATTGTTTTCTTCTCTTTGGTTTTCTAAAACCGGATTGAAGATGTAAATTTGAATAAGAGATCAAAGTTGTATGTGTAAGAACATGAAATCTAGTTATTATATAGTAAACATTTCTTCTGTAAATAAATTTTGTATTTATTATGTTCGGAAAAAATATAAAATTTTTAAAATATATTTATAAACTATTAAAATAAAATTAATGGAATACGTGTATATGACTCTTGGATTTTGCGGTTAATGTACATAGAAGAGAATTAAACGATTTCTATATAAAAAAAATTATATTTATAAAATAATAAATTTTCTTAATAAAATTTATAGTAGTTTTCATGTTTCAACATAAATTAATAATAGGTTGATCGATTTGAATTAACAATTCAATTTATAGATATTTTAATTTTTTATCGCTAAATTAGATTATCTTTAATTACGATAAAAAAAAATTATACCCAAAAAATGTTTATATATGATCGTTCACACAATAATCTTACAACAATTAAAGAGTGCTAATAATTAATTTTTAAATCCTAAAAATTTACTCTTCTCCTTTACATAATTGAAAACCCTACACTTTTTCTTTTTTGACATCATATTTTCAGAACCACCTTTTTTCTCTATAACGGTGGTTCTGAAAATATGATGTCAAAAAAGAAAAAGTGTAGGGTTTTCAATTATGTAAAGGAGAAGAGTAAATTTTTAGGATTTAAAAATTAATTAAATGAAAACTAAATAATGGTACCTGAACTTCTTGTTCTTCTCACTCTCTTCCAATCGGTCACGCATACATACAAGACATATATATACAGACAGACATTTGTACCTCCTCACCTCCATACATCCTATGGGATTCTCGAATTCCGTATTGTAATTAATTTACATAGATGACATTCAATATGTTTCATGAACCTTTTTTATTAATTTTCAGAAATAATCTAGATACATTAGATACTCTGCACACCCATTCCAAATCTCGTCTCATTAATTACTAAATAAATATATTAACAGAATTTACACTTGAAATTTACACTTCATTAATTCTTAAAAATATGATACGTGTCACACTCATATCAAACAAACTCTAATTTTATATATAATAATAAAGATATCTTTTTAGAAAATTTTTGTTTTTATTAAATAGATGTCATTTTAGATTTTCTGTTTTTTTAATAAAATTTTAATAGAGTATTGATGAGAATGTGGGTTAATAGGGATATATTTAGAGTTCTATAGTTACTTAAAAATTGAGATAAATAGTATTTATCTATAAAAATATTCTAAATTATAAATTAATATTAAAAAATTATTAGTTGATTGTACCACTTAACTATAAAAGAATTCGGTATATTACAAATAAATTGTATATAATAGTTTTAGTGTAGTCTTTTTTTTAAATTCAACTATAATAAAATGATATATTTTTAAAAATAAAAAATCTAAATATAAAAACAACCACAACTATTACAACTATTACAATATATATGTCATTACTATATATATATATTTAAAAAAAATCAAAATCTAACAAAGTCTTCACTTCTTCATCTTCAGTCCTTCAATCAGCTCTTTGCTCCTCTTTTTTTATTGATTCTTTTTTTTTTATCATCTCTCCCCTAAAATATTAGATCAAACTTGGATTTACTCTCCCTAGTTGTATAATTCATGGACAACCTGAAAAAATAACAATTCGCAAAAAATAATATATCGGAAACTCACAAAATTAAATAGTTGTATAGTAAGCGATGTCATCAGGATAACATTGGATTTTGATTTTTACCGATTAATAATTGTGCTCGAATGAATAATAATTGCGTAAAGTAACATAATCGATGTGTAAATTCGATATATTCAAGTATTAGTTTGTACGTAATGAAATATCAAATTTGATAAAGATCCAGAATAATAGATAATCAGAAATGTATTCAATCGAGATCTTCAATTGCATTCTATATACGGGTATTTTAAAAAAAATATAAAAAAAAATTCTACTAACGGAATATATTGGATTTGACAATATAAAAAAATTCAATATTTACAAATTGGATCGAACACTTTGATTAGAAAAATTATCCGATAAAACAAAAAAGTACTTGTAAAACAATTAGATCAAGATATTCAAAACATTCATATAGCTATGCATTATAATGAAGAATCACAAACAAAAAGATGAAATGAGAATAAAAATCATGATACAGAGAAAGAAAAAATAATTAAAGCATAGATAATCTGTGCTTTACGTTACTGACCTGGTGTGTTGCAAGGGGAGAGAAAAATTGAGTTTCTAAAAACTCTACAAGCAGAAAAGTTTACCTTCCCCGTCTATGGTTCCCCGTCCATGTGCTAGTCATGACCTTTAAACCTTTTAATGTTTCAAGTTTAAAGAGAAACAAAAACATATAGAAAATTAAATCTACACACATGTTATTTGTATAATGTCAGAGACGTTTAGTTCATATTCTCTCTGACTCCTCGGACTTTGTGATCAATGTATATTGAAGAACATTTAAATCCGTTCATTAATCTCCGTAACTTTATCCTTTTTTTTTAGTTGTGAAATGATTGCTTATTTGATTTAGTGGAAGTTACGATGAATATAGATAAATAATATTTAATGTATGAATTTATCTTTTTATATTTTTAATAAGGGAACACGTGTCACCCTCTTATAACTCACTGTACTTTTATATATATAAGATGTTCTACAACATACCAACTAAAATTAGCTGTACCGTCAAACTATTTATTCCCTTTGATAAATTAAATTTTAGAGATTAAAACATCTAAACCAATTCATGTTACATAAAAAAGAATCTAAAAATAATAAATATGTTCCTATGTGACATGAAGCAACCGGTAAATTTACTATTGAAATGGTAAATTATACTCTTATATAATCTGAGACTAGATATAAGGGAAGTAAAGGAGTATTGAATTGCGCGCGGCCAATGGGAGTTGGGCAAGTGTCATGGATTGATCCGAAAGCCATGTGCTCCCCTTGCTAATTTATCAAGTCGTCGGTTTTCTTTTTCCTCACCATTGCGTTCGAGGGATTAAACCGCGGATATTTATCTTAGTACTATAATAATTGTGAAGGAAATATGGAGTGTGTGTATAATAGAGAGCATTTAGATGTGATTGCCACCAATTCCAAATGGACGGAGCACGTGGGTAGTGCATCGGGCCCTGAAACCCTTGTGATTCTTTCACCGTAATAATTATTAATCCCCCCTCCCTTTGTATCTGTCAGTTTCAGATGCGGGTCAAGTCGAAGCTTCATCGCCTCTCTCCCTCCGGCATCTCTGCATTTACATAACATGGTGGTTAGTCATTCTAAAATCTCTCTTCCTTCTTCCTTTTTTGTGCATCTGCACAGTCCAGTTTTGGTTAACTCTATCCTCCTCCTCCGTCCAAAAGCTTAACTTCTTTTCATCCTTTTCTAATTCCTGGGTTTTAAACGCTTTGACTTATTGGGTTTCAGATTTGAAGAGTGAGAGTAGCCTATTTATTTACCTCTTTTTTTGCCACGATGTATTGGGTACATTTATATTAAAATGATCAGATTTGCAAACAAAGAGGATCCCTCATGCCTATGACAGGTGGTGTGCAGATTATGAGATGCTGTGACTTGTGAGGAGAGATTAGAGAAAGGATGGGATGTGCTACATCCGCTTATGCTGTTGGTGCAAGGAAGAAGAGGAGGAAGAACATTCCAGAGTCTGCAGTGTTTGTACCGCCTCTTTGCGTCCCATTTCGTTCTGATCTTCTTCAGCAGCAACTCAATGGAATCGCTCCCAAGATTGTAATCGATAGACTCACATGTCTTAGAAACCAGATTCAGTTGGTAGCCGAGGGCACTGGTACCTTTTTCCAGCATCTTTCTTTTCTTGTGTGCCAAGTTACGTAGAGCTTACTAATTAATGAATTCCTGCAGGAGGTTCGGCCGTTTCAGAGCTGCGTGGAGCTCTGGACGAATACTTGTCTCTTCTAACTGGCCTCCTGAAGACAAGTTACTCTTCGACTTCTTTTGTCTGATTAGTAGTTTTAATTAACAAGCTCTCATAATTAAGACCCTTTCGCTGAATAACATTCCATCCACAATTTTTAATGAGGGTTTTCCACAGCGAATGATGGCTTGGAAGGTTGCTTGGAGTTCAAGTGGAAATCCCTCGAAGGAAATGGTCGACGAGTAAGAACATATTGACCCAAAACTTTTCCTCACCGTTATATCTGTCTATGTACATCTTTGCATTTTTCAAACAAAATTTAAACCTATGTTCCCCATTTTGATTGTGCGTTGGTAAATTCTAAGGATTTAGACTGTACTCAATCAAATCAGGAATCATGCTTCACCAATATTTGGTTCGAGATATTGTCAGTGTTATACATGATGGCGGTTATGGCATTATCGGAAGCTAACTCATTGATGATTCCGAAGGATTGTTCTGGTTCCGGAACTCGGGTCATTCCTACAGGTAATTTGTCCGTTATTGTTCAACATATTCTGGTGAGAATTTTCCAGCAGAGTCATTATAAAGCTATCGCATGAATGTTCAATCAGAGTGCAAGAGAAATGCGGTTGACTTGCTGATCAAGGCGTCTGGGTACTTGGAGTTCTGCAGCCGACAGATTCTAGTTCATGTTCCTCCAGAGATGAAGTAACTATACAACTCGCACACGTATTATACATACATATATATATATGTTTCGCCGGTGACCGTGTATAAAAAAATATTCAGGGATAAAATGCCAGAGGAAATGCAAGAGGGTGTAATACAAGCTCTTTCCATCCAAGCACTTGGTCAGGTACTTATATTTATAGCTTTTAAATATAGAGTGGACTGTGGTATATGCATCTGAGGATAGAGAGAGATAAAGAGTGGATGAAATTAATGTGTGTGTGTGTGTGTGTGTGTGTGTGTTTTATAAGGGAACTGAGATCCAACTGGGTTTAGCGATTGAGAGCCAGAAAGCCACATTGTCTGTGAAGAGGAGATTAGCCTGCGAGCAAGTTCTCTACTTCACCCAGGTCCACTTCTCCATTTGCTTTTCGGTCCCCCCCCCCCCCTCTC